ATCAGGCCAGAGGACGCCCAGGACCTCCTGTCTCCTGGAGCTCCTCTCACCAAGCAGTCCCGCTCCCCCAGCTTCAACATGCAGATCATATCACAGGTCTAATGTGCAGTGCAGGGATGGTTGAGACACACACACACACACACACACACACACACAAAATATCTGTTCATAACATACATCCTCATGCAGTTTGTCTCTGCAGCTCTATACAACCCTACTATGACAACTTCTGTCTACCTGTCTTGGTGTTGGGGGTGTGTGTGTGTGTGAGTGTGAGTGAGTGTGCAGGAACACATCTTCAGATCTCAAAGAGTTTTCTCCACCCACCCTACCTTAACATCCATTAAACTTAAAATCATGACCTGCAGTCGTTGCTGGTGGCCGAAAAGAGAAGAGTAGTAAAGGATGACTGCCCACTGCTGTAACTACAGTTAAGCGTAGAAGTTTCCAGCATCCTCCCAAGTCTGACCAAGCTGAGCATTCCGCACAGAAACTCTCCTAAAAGAAAAAGGGGGAAACCTTGATGAAAAAAAACACGTAAGGATGCCACGCTAGCTGTAGGGGATATATGACATTTCAGATATTTTTGAGTTCCTGACTGAATCAGTCAAATGAATCAGCAATAACACTTAACAGTCGGTCATGTGGAGGAGAGTGGGAATTATTGCTTTCTCTTCATTCCTTCCCTTTCATTCCCGGGCTCATGTGCAATCGTTCTTGCTGATTATCCTCCTTGTTAATTGCGGTTTTTAATTAGGCATACATTTTGAATTTGAGTTTTTTTAGGGGGGGGGGGGGTTTTTTGTTGTTACAATCCAAAGAAGGAAAGGTTCGGTTTTTTGTCTTCAATGATTTTGCAGAAATCAGTCAGAACCAAGTGATTATCTAGTTTTAAGCCCATTACCTTTATTTTATTCTGTAATTATAATATTCTGATTTCATCTGTAAAATCAAGATTTTAAGATTGTTGTAAAAAGCAAACTGGAATGTGGTTAGGGTTTGTCTTGCCCCCCAAGCTTTTAAATGGACAAATCTGAAGAAATAACTACTGTGCAGCTAGCGGAAGAACTGCATTAAAAACGTTGCAAACGGTGTAGGTTTTGGGTCTGAAGCTAAAGGCAATGCCTGTATTTTATATGGATTGTTATTATTATGGTTCAAACCTTTCAAGGGGTCCTTCCATCTGAACGCACTTGTTGGTGTTTGAGTCTGTGTTGAGGTTGTGGCTTGTGCATGCCGTCATTTCTGAGTCGGTGAATTACTGCCCCCTGGAGGCTCGTACTAGTCACTGCACATCAGCGTTCACCATGACGATTGTCTCCTGTTTTGTGCTCTGATTGGATGTTCATGAAACATTTTGTTCTACCTCATTGTGTGTTCACCTGCCACCTCCCAATCAGACGCAGGATTTAACGACCCTCCCCTCCCCCCTGTTAGGTTTGAAACTGGAGCACTTGACCAGTTGGGGGATTAAATAGTGTGGACCAAAAGGGTTTCACACTGCAACTGTAATGAACGCGGTGTGTGTGTTCATGTGAGGAGTTGTGACTGAAAATCTCAGTCTTGCTTTTCAGTTCAATCATGCCATGTACAAACCCTAGCTGCAAAACAAGAACATGACTGTCTTCAGGTTTTTGTATTTTCTGTCATATCAAACAACCCCATTGGGATTAACCTGATTTATTTTAATCCTCCAGAAATGTCCTGCTCATCTTTTTATGTAACGATTTTTGAAGTGCAATTTTTTTTTTTTATCTGTATGTGCATGGAGTTGGATCTTCTCTGCTGTTAAATGCCTGCATCCGCTCACAGTGCTAGCTAGCCTTCTGTACTGCTCCCTGCCCAGGCTGAGTGATTTGAACATGGCGTGCTCGTCTGCATGTTTAGTGCCCTGCAAAGCACTGCTGTTTCAGATGCGTGAAACAGCCAGCGAGCCAAACCCAAGTCTCGTCCTTGTCTTTGCCAGATGTGCCAATACACATCCTCTCCTTAAGGAAGTTATTTTTTGCTTGGGTGTCTTAAGTTAAAATGCCTACTTTTTTCTGTTTACTGGTCTTATATTAAAGTTAAGGGACAAAAAAGGGATGTTTGGACGTATAGCTCAACGTGCCCTTAGATGCAGCTTCACCTTTTTTGCCATGAATTTTCTTTTCACTCTCTACGCGTGTGCATGACACACTGCACTCTCACAATCATTACTACGCTTTGCTGTTCACACGTACAAGCAGTATATTAAGCGTCGGTGTACTGTAGATGTCAGCTGTTGTATTGCATTTTCCACGTCTTGCTCACGTGCTTGTTTAAAACGAGGATGAATGATTAATGTATATAAGTCAGTTCAGTCTGCAGTGAAAAAAAATCCCACACCTCTTACTCCCGCTGTGCCGGAAACCGTCACAGCCGCTGCTCTTGGTCCTGAGTGAGGCCTGTGTGCGCTTTAGCCTTAAACATTTCAGGCCAAAAAGCCTCAATTGGCGGCTTTTTGCCCTCATCTGTTCCTCCTCCTCCTGCTGGAAAGCGGGAGGAGGAGGAGTGCAGCTACAGTTCACACTCTCACCTGGTCTGTCTGCTGTCATCCCTGTGCTGTGTGGCTCACAACGAGCCGTGTACCCATTTGCTGTATTTTGCTGTGAGTTGAGTGGCACCTTTTTTTTGCTGTTTTAAAACTGGTGATGTGTTCATGTCATTAATATGAGTGCCCCTGACCAAGGTTGCCAGCAGCCATGTTGGTACTGTATGTTGACTTAGGATAGACAAATATCCCTCGGTGTCTGGTGTTATTTGCATGTGATCAGGGCAGGAAATGAACACCAGCTGTGGTGAATGTTGATTAAACTTGACTGGCTAGAAATTTTGAGTGCCATATTAAAAGAAGAAGCATAAGCTCAAAAATCCACATTTAAAAGGTCCACTTAAAAAACAAACAAAAAAATTAGGTGGTTAAATTTGTACTTGGTCAGCCGCTGCTGGTGGACAAAGTTCATTTCCTGTCCTGCATGTGATAACTGTGGGCTTTGTTTTCATACAGTTCAATGCACTTTAATCCATCCACCTCTCTCAAGATAGTTCTTGAAATGATATATATAGATGTGCAAATGTGTATACACTCAATGCAGGGTTTTAGTCTCTTTAAAGTAGTACTTCTATGTGATGTCACATCCAACACAATGCTATTTTTGTTTTAAGGGTACAGCTATTTATTTTTTTCTTTTCAAAACCAAAAAATAAATGTTACGGGGGTCTGGAAGGTCTCAGGAGTTTATCAAGAAGTGACATTTTATTAAAAATGGCAGCACCAAAATTTCTGTTCTTGAAGTCAGAATTGATTCTATGCAACATTTTTTCCCCTCTTTTTGTTTTTGGTGTACCGGCTTTCATTGGTCCTTGTCAGGTGGGATGAGGCAGATGCATTTAAGCTGATTTTTAAGGTGCAAGTCCTCAACAGTGTCCCCATTCAGCTTCTGTTTATACACCCGGTTGTGGTGCTACGGAGCGAAGGACCTCTCTTCATGTGGGTGAAATAAGAGGACCATCCATTTGTCATCACACTGCCCTCGCAGAGAGAAAGCCACACCTGGAGACTTTCGGTGCATGTCCAGACCTTCTGTCAGTATGCTGCTCTGTGGCGCAAAGACGTCAGTTGGTGTATAAAACAGATTATCGGTGGTGAATCTACTCTAGATGCTTCGAGGGAAGCTGCTGGACGATGTGATAACACTGTACTATTGATGTTGTATAAATGGAGAGAAAGACTTATTTTAAATCTTGTAAATAAAACATGTACAAAGGTGAAAAAAAGGATGAATACAAAAGAGAGAAATTAAACTGTATATTGTTGAATAAATATTGTGTCGTAAAGGAAACAAGAAACTGTCTGCTTTGTATGTGGAAATGGTTCAATGCGATCCTGCCCATAATCACTCCTCACCATGGATGCGCTCTCAGATAAGATAAATAAGCTCACTTAACCAATAACCAGTTTGGTTCCAAGCTATAATTTTACGATGTGACTAATCAATGGTGGAACATTTGTTTTTTAAAAGATTAAAAAGGCAGAGACGCTCATTTCTAATTTACAAGTTGATGACCGAATAGCAGCTGACAAGTTACTTAAGACTTCCTAATATTAGCAATTCTTGTAATAATATTGGCATGTGATAATAGAATAAGTGAGAATAAGAATTATGATGTTACCACAGAATTCATATTTGATAAGTTAAATTGATATCTTGTGGTTAGGCTTCTATTATCTAAGTTATTTTTATTTGAATTTGAATTTGAACTCAAGACATTCAGTTATTACTGTACTGAGCTGTGATCAGTGGTGGTGTGCTGACATCTAGTGGTGGAAATGCAAAATAACATACTATAATATTCAGAAGGTAAATCATTTGAACCTGAAAATTACATATCACTTCAATTATTGTTCTCCCGTATTTGTCTCTGCTGTGATATTACTACTTTATTCGCAATCTGCTTTAAATGGTCTTCTAAATGTTTGCTTCTTCCAGGGGAAAAAAGTTATTTATTTGAATAATGTCATCATTACAGCGACTGAGAACTGAATTTTTTTTCCATTGCTTCAGCGCATTCGTATTTTGCCACACATTAATTGGAGCTCAAGCTGAACTTCAAACATCCTATTAACACACGTCACACCTCTGAACCCCACAGCAGGCGGGGGGCCCTACACCCTTCCTTCACCTAACATATGCTCCAGCTTTTACAGCGTGGAGTTAAAGCTGGGGTAGGCAACGTTGGAGACGCAGAGATTTGAAAGCATAAAACTGGGAAAAATAAAAACGCCGCCACCCCCTCCCTCCAAATCCATTCCCACAAAACACATTTTCATGCCCCGGCCACCTGTTTCCACCTTCCCTCATTAGCCTGGTGTGCAGTACACACAAACTGACCTGAATTTAGTGTTTACTCACTAGTTTACTTGAACTATGCACACGCTTTACTGCAAACACGGTCACTTGACTCACCTCTCTCTCCCCCTTTATGTAGCCTATCTGCTCTGCTTATTCTCCCCATAAGCATTATGTTTTATAAAGTCACCGAAAAGACAGAAATCTTGGATTTTTCCACCTGCGATTCGTTTTTAGGAGCAGGTGCACCACATGTAAGTGCTTGTTATCGACGTGGCATATCACAAGCATATCGGAATGAAACCAACCTGGTACCTATCATATTGCCCTGGTGTGCACTGTGTAGACTACAGTATATAAAAAGATTCACTGTTGCTAACTGGTCTGTGCTTATAAAATATCCACCTTGCCCGCGTCTTACAACAGATAACCTGTCTCTGTGTTTCTCTGCAAAATGCTAATAAGTCTCAAGTAAAGTCTATGGGGCCAGACACCCCGACTAAAGAGTACTAAATTGCCTGTGCATTCTAAAATATTGCACAAGTAATTGTAGTAGCATACTTGTTATGGGTGATTAACTAAGAATTTAATTATTGCGTAGATGACAACAGGTGCAAACACAATGGAGGTGGCAGTAGCCTATTTAAATGAGGGGTTTGCGTGTTTTAATGGTTTCCGCCCTGGAGAGTTGGGAGGGAAGGCAGCCACTGCATAAAAACCTTGGTTTGTTTTATTCATTTACATTAATTCATTTAGCTGACGCTTTTATCCAAACAACTTACAATTGCTAATTATGTCAGAGGTCACACGCCTCTGGAGCAACTAGGGGTTAGATTGGTAGATGTGTTACAGTGGGGGATTGAACCCAGATCTCTCACACCAAAGGCAGCATCTTATCCACTGCGCCATCACCACCCTTATTCAGTGCGTCCTAAGTTTGTGGAAATCGAGCCTTTTCACCATAGGCTTGTGAAGAGGCGAATACATTATATAGCAACATAAAAAGTATTAAACCCCCTTAACCCTAATGCTTGGTAAAATGGTGAAAGAGAAATCCGTCTGGAACACATGATTCTCACTCTCTCTACTAACCAATGAGAGGCTGAAGGGATGATCTTGGTTTTAACCCCTATTACCACAGAAAATACTGATCTACACAGATAAAGAGCATGTGATGAAACAAACAAGAAGAACGCAACGGCTCAGTTTCCTTCTTTGTATTATGCAAAAAAAATCACATAACATTTAGACAACAAATATGAAAATAAAAGTAATGTAGTTAATAGTCTTCGGTAAACTGAGCGCACTCTTTTTAGTTTTGTTCTTTTAGCAGGCCTGCATTAGTTTGTTGGCGCGCTTCATGTTGGAGCTCAGAGTGAAGAAAGCAAGAATACATCCTTTTTCAAGCGGCGAAGGGTTGAGTAAGCCTTTAACATCAGTAATAGTCTTTCCTTCATGCCTCAGAAAGGACAACAGCTTGGCTTCAAAATCTTCACCATCTGCAAGAGCATGTAACCCTTTCAAGAGGGTCCAACTGCAGACCTCCACTGTTAGGCCACCTCCACTGTCAGCCCGGTCAGGACAGGAAATACATGCAAAAACTATAAAATAAAATTTGACAGGATACACGTTAAAAAATTATAAAGTTTAATCACGTAAACATAGGGGGAGGGTTTTTGTCGCTGATTTATATTTAATTATTTAGTCAACATTCTAACGGGAAAATAGCAGGCTAATTCCTTAAATATAGCATATTGATTTGAGCCTTTTCTACTTAGCACTTGATGGGCATGTCGCGAAGTATCCACTTTTTAAAAATGAATGGAGACAATAGCCTACTGTAATAACACTGTTACTTTATTCACTGTACACACACAGATTACAGTTAGAAAAGGAGTTGGCAGCAGTGACTGATTTGCATTATCCAAAACATTTTTTTAAAGTCTGAATGCATGGGCATGTTACATCAAAATATCTACCACTATCAATATTTGTACATCTCAATCATGCAAATTAGGATATGCCAACAGTGGCTGTGGTGAGGAGTAGTATCTTTCTGTGGATAACTGTTTAAATAACCGTGTATGTTAAACATCTCACTGCTCCAAAACAGCTGATTCAAACTATCAACTCGTTATGAATCCTGAAGCTGCTTCAATCAGCTGTGTTGAAGCAGGGAGAGAGTAAATCATGCAGGACAGGGGGTAACTTTCTTCAGGAAAGGGTTGGGAAACACTGTCGTAGTACATGTAGCATGGCTAACTTAGCTATGAATTTTAATAAATGTATGAGAATTAATACCCAATTATGAATTTTAATATTCAAAAATATATTAATCCATAAAATGCTCTCATTTAAAAAGGGCACCACCGGAGTTGTTATTATCCTAGAGTCTTAATAATTATACAATTATTACTAGTGATCAGTTAGTTAATAATCGCTAAATTATCTTAAATCAATCAGTCAGTCTCATATCTAAAGGGTCAATTCTCTTGGCAGGGACGTGGAGATAGTCAACACAAACAGTTCTTGATTACAGTGAATTTATTAACTAACTAATGCGATATAAAAGGGTGGTTAAATACAGGGAAAATAAACAATGATCGATGAACGATCCTGGCTTTTTCTGCTAGGGATTCTCCGGGGTTCTCTGTGTCTGAAGAAAACCTCAAGGGTTGGCCGTCCTTCTTCTGGCAATTCGGCTGTTTTCAGGTTTCCTTCGTTGCCGCTGGCGAGACCACGTGGCTTGGTCTGACCTCGGTGAAGTTGGCTCAATGAAAAAGCTTAAAAGGGAACTTAGTCTTTCCTGAATTAGACCAGTGTAACTTAACGGACTGATAACTTTAACAAAACAGAAGAAAGAAAGAAAATAAAACAAACTGAGGGGCAGATCGATGTCGCAGCACTTCGCGCGTGTAGCTTCAAGCGAACAAAGGCCTCGTTGCGCTGGTCAAACTCTTAGGGCTTAGCCTGGAGAGGCACGCCGGACGCGTGCCGAAGCGTCCAGAGAGCAGAGCGGAAGACCAGGGCATGAGGAGAGGGGAGGAGCCGAGAGCGAGAGAGAACGACGTTGTGTGTCGCTCTTTTGTTGCCTGGGGCATTGTTCCCCCAGGGGGCGGTCCTTTGTTCCCGAGGGAGCGTTTCCGGTTTCCCGAGGGACTGCATTTCTAAACTTTTAATGTCTAAAAGAAAAGAAAGTCTATTTGCAAGTATTATAATCAAATATTTTCCACAATCAACCCTCAGTGGTCAAACTGTTGTATTGTTCTAAGTTAAGCATTTGGTAACAGGAAACAATTGTCCCATTATTGGTCATGACATTTATACATTAACGGCATTTCCGACAATGGTATGTAATACTTATTTCGTCCACTTGGGGGAGCTCAGGTTACATGAGGAAAGCTTAGATTTAACCCAAACAATCTTTCCTTAGGAAATGGGGAATTCAGCCTTAAATTCAAGCTGGATAATTAATAGAGTATAGTATGACATTTCTTTATCATTATTTCTAAAGGAATTGTGTGGGAAAGTATTGTGAACAAGCATTGGTTACACATTAAATGAAGGAGTGTACTTAATCTTGCTGAAAATAAAAAACACTGCAAAAGTAACTTATTTAGATTCTTTTCAGCACTACTAACAGATAGCAGTTAATGCATTGGGTCTTTGGATACTGCAGTCTTTGTTTATTTAAAGTTCGGCTGCCCTGGATTATGTCACACTTAGGCGTAAAAGGGGGTATATCCCTTCGATGGGGTAATGAAACACAGAGCAAGGTCAGTTACCACGGTTACATGTGTGTGGGGGGGCAGTTTTGATAGGCTGTTCAGGCAAATGCTGATCGCTGGTTAGTGTCCCTTTTGTCAGTTTAACAGTCAGGCACCGTGTTATCAGCTTCATAGACTCAAAGGTGCCAGTTTTATGATAAGGCTGCTCAGGAATAGCAACTTTTCCACCCCCCTTCTGTTGGGGTCTCTTTAGCAGTCTGTTGAAGTTGATCTTTAACCCCCCTGATCCTCTCTGGGAGAGGAAAAGAGGAATTTGGAGTAGCTCCAAATTTATTTAATATAAAATGCACAAATCCACACCGTTGTCCCACTACATACATAAACTTCAATTCAACTAAGATCAATTCATACAGCCAGCAGAGTCTTTGCACACTGTTTAACGTTAAGTGTGAAAAGCTACACCGATCAGTCTAAACAATACAGATTGTTATTTTATCTTCTTTTGGACAAATAACTAACCTGAGCGTCGTCAACATGTTAAGACAAATGCAAACCTATGCCCTTGCAAAATGCTTTACAAAAAACAAACACAGTAGCTTCATACAGTCTATGAGTAACGTTAGCTTATGTTATCCAAAGGGAAAAAAAGCTACAGGTGTTGTGCCAAGGTAGTTAACCCCGATAGAAAGTGTTTCCCTTGCAGCGGACCTTCGACGTCATGAAAGGGAATGAAAAATATAATGTGGATTATTTAATCTATTGTTTTAGCATTGATTTATCAACAAGGTTTTTGCAGAGGAAGCTAGCACACGGCTTATATAACATTAAATGCTTTTATAGGCTAATGTTACGTTTTATCAAACTTCGTATGATTCAGTGCACTGAATTGAGAATGTCTACACAAGACGAGCCATTAGTTTCACTCGTAAAGCAAACATTTATTTCGCGATAGTCACTTTGTCATCCATGTTACTGTTTAGAAGCTAGATTCAGACAGGCTGTCACCATTTTCAAGTAAGCTGCTCCTACATACGTCATTGATGCTGTAAAAGGCTGACTCGAGGTGTACATTAAACTGAATGCAGAATTGTAGATAATATTTTGTTCTTGTAATCCATGTGGATAGCCTTTGGATCTTGATGGAAATTGTTCTGAATCCCCCTCCTTAAAGAGGTAAATTATTACCATCACAATTTATAATAATGCATTGCATTTAAAAAGCACTTTTCATCAATAACAGTAGCCTACTGGTCCTACCAGACTGCACATGCAGTCTGCAAAAATATGTATCCCCTAACACACAGATAATGGCCTACTATCAAGTATTTAATTTTATGTACACTTCACATCATGACTGATAACAGGTGGGGATATGGAGAGGTTTCTCAGCAGTAGTTATAGTGGGATATAAATAATTTCAGTCTATATATTCAACCTGCCATAAAACGTATCCCGCTCCATAATGTACAGATGATCAAGGTCTATCAGAAAGTATTGTTTTATGTAGGTTATAGCCTACATATGATCATATTTAATAACAGTGGTGAATATCAAGGTACATGTGACTTTTATTTTACAACACATGGGCTCTAAATAGCCTATTTAAAATCTGAATATGATAAAATCATTTGAATAAAAAACATCGATATCACAATCAACTTAAATGAAGGCCATGCAAGTGCAGCTGATTATACTGTCTCTACCCTCATTTCAAAACTGTTCGACAAGAAACACATGAAAACCTTGTGCGTGCAATAACAGAGCTTTGGACGATAGCTACATTTTGTGAATTTTGGGGTGGGTGAAATAGGGTGAAGCATCTCCCTATTAAGAGAGATGCTGTGCGTCTTGCATTTATGCAAGGGGCACATCAGCATAACTATTTAAATCTCCCGACACGCTAACTAGGTCAGTCCGGATCTAATGTTAATTATCCATCTAGTCTATCTAAAAATGTTTAGGAGCTAAAAGTTGAATTCTGTTTCCTTAGCAATGTCTGTCCTGTCATGTTTATAACTACAGTTTGGTTTGGTTTGCTGCATAAATGTCCCGCAGTATTTACTGTTACAATGCTGCAAGCATGGAAACACTGAAAATGACTGACAACAGCCTCTCTAATCATGAAAATAAACCATTAAAGAAAACTCTCATACATCAACACTATAAAGAATTTACCTGGAAAGTTAAAAAAGACCGGTAGAGATGGGATAAATCTCAGAAAATATTTAATTAGTTGAGTTGGGGGCGGGTGGATGATTTGTGCATAAGTGATTATTCAGATAGTTAGATCCATTTCGCGTACCACACTGATCGCTATAGCTCCTATATTCATTACAAAACAGCTGCTGACGTCAAATTATTAGGCTCTAATATCAACCACAGCATCCTCTGAATTCAGCACTAACCTGCTGTTTTTTTTTGTTGTTGTAATATAGTAACTCCGTTCAGTGTACGACACCCTTCCATCACCAACAAACCTCCACAGATGGGGAATGAGGGAGGACCCGTTGAACAATGGCGCACATATTGGCAGGATGCAAAACAGCTCTTAGCCAAGGAAGATACAGGTGGCGCCATGACAAGGTTCTCACTGGCAGAACTGGCGGACATCCTGGAGCGGGAGAGGCAGAAAAAGCGCCAGACCAGTACAAGGCCGACGACATTCATTCAGTTCGTCAGAGAGGGGGAGAAACCACCAGCCCCCAAGAAAAAAAAGAGCCTCTTGCAAGCAGCACAATCCTGGGAGATGAGGGTGGACCTGGGAAGGAAATTAGTCTTCTCCCGGGTTGTGCAAACATCGCTGAGGCCGGATGCGGTCCTATGGTCTGAGGAGGCAAGGAAGATAATCTTGATTGAACTGACGGTCCCGTGTGAGGACGGGTGCGAAGAGGCCTATGAGCGGAAAGCCACCAAGTATCAGGACCTCGTTCAGCAGTGTAGGGCCAAAGGGTGGCAGACCTGGGGTTTCCCGGCGCAGTCTGTGTGGAAGACACTCACGGCTCTGGGTTTAGCAGGAAGGGAGAGGAAGGCAGCTGTTCGTAGGTTGGGTTGGCTGCAGAAAGAGCGTCTTGCTGGCTCTCGAGTAGGAGGGAGGAGTTGAGCTGGGGGCCAGAGGGAGGTGGGCAGTGACTAGCCACCACTGCTGACCGCCAACTGGAGGGTGTTCAGGGTCGAAACACCCCGTGAAAGTTGGACGCCACCTGATGACATCTTCTCCTGGCTGAAAGCTACAGTCATGCACTATAGTCAGTGACTGAGTTAGATAGCATCAGTAAAGATGTATCCAATAGTAACAATGGTGCCCATTATGTAGTCTGCACATGTAATTTGCACACTGTGTTCCCCCCTGTCTTTAGGGGTGCTACAGTACCCTCCGCACCCACCTTTTTGCACGCTTGCCCACGGGTAAAATTTGCAAGCTAATTAACATGTTGCTAGGTTTGATTTCAGAGGAGGAGAGAAAGTTTATCGGCTCATTTGATTTGTCGGTTAACTCAAACACTGTAGAAGAATGGATCCTAATGATTATGAGCAGATAGTTAAATATAAACTGAAAGGCGAATATCCAGCTCTTTTACCGAAAGAGACAAATTCCTTCTTCGAAGAAAAGCTGCTCTCTACAAAACTGAAGGTAAGATAAGCACCGTTTATAACCATTTTCTACATGTCATCAATGAATCCACAAATTATTAAAAATTATATATATATATATATATATATATATAGACACAGATGAAACTCGAAAAATTAGCATATTGTGCAAAAGTTCATTTATTTCAGTAATTCAACTTAAAAGGTTATACTAATATATAGACTCATTACATGCAAAGTGAGATATTTCAAGCCTTTATTTGATATAATTTCGATGATTATTGCGTACAGCTTATGAAAACCCCAAATTCAAAAATTTGAAAATTACATGAAATCAATAAAAAAAATAAAAAAGGATTTTAAATACAGAAATGTCAGCCCTCTGAAAAGTATAATCATGCATATGTACTCAGTACTTGGTTTGGGCCCCTTTTGCATGAATTACTGCAGCAATGCGGCGTGGCATGGAGTCGATCAGTCTGTGGCACTGCTCAGGTGTTATGAGAGCCCAGGTTGCTCTGATAGTGGCCTTCAGCTCTTCTGCATTGTTGGGTCTGGCGTATCGCATCTTCCTCTTCACAATACCCCATAGATTTTCTATAGGGTTAAGGTCAGGCGAGTTTGCTGGCCAATTAAGAACAGGGATACCATGGTCCTTAAACCAGGTACTGGTAGCTTTGGCACTGTGTGCAGGTGCCAAGTCCTGTTGGAAAATGAAATCTGCATCTCCATAAAGTTGGTCAGCAGCAGGAAGAATGAAGTGCTCTAAAACTTCCTGGTAGACGGCTGCGTTGACCTTGGGCCTCAGAAAACACAGTGGACCAACACCAGCAGATGACATGGCACCCCAAACCATCACTGACTGTGGAAACTTTACACAGGACTTCAAGCAACGTAGATTCTGTGCCTCTCCTCTCTTCCTCCAAAGGAAATGCAAAATTTACTTTCATCAGAGAACATAACTTTGGACCACTCAGCAGCAGTCCAGTCCTTTTTGTCTTTAGCCCAGGCGAGACGCTTCTGACGCTGTGTCTTGTTCAAGAGTGGCTTGACACAAGGAATGCGACAGCTGAAATCCATGTCTTGCATATGTCTGTGCGTGGTGGTTCTTGAAGCACTGACTCCAGCTGCAGTACGCTCTTTGTGAATCTCCCCCACATTTTTGAATGGGTTTTGTTTCACAATTCTCTCCAGGGTGCGGTTATCCCTATTGCTTGTACACTTTTTTTTTTTTACCACATCTTACAAACATACATTATACAAGTTTCACTTTTTGAATGGAATTACTGAAATAAATCAACTTTTTGATGATATTCTAATTATATGACCAGCACCTGTAAAGCTTCATAGTATTTTTGACATGGTTTGTGGTGGGGATACATTTTATGGCAGGTTGAATATATAGACTGAAATTATTGGTTTCCCCACTGTAACTACTGCTGAGAAACCTCTCCATATCCCCCCATTATTAGTCATGATGTGAAGTGTATGAAATTAAATACTTGATAGTAGGCCATTATCTGTGTGTTAGGGGATACATATTTTTGCAGACTGCATGTGCAGTCTGGTAGGACCAGTAGGCTACTGTTATTGATGAAAAGTGCTTTTTAAATGCAATGCATTATTATAAATTGTGATGGTAATAATTTACCTCTTTAAGGAGGGGGATTCAGAACAATTTCCATCAAGATCCAAAGGCTATCCACATGGATTACAAGAACAAAATATTATCTACAATTCTGCATTCAGTTTAATGTACACCTCGAGTCAGCCTTTTACAGCATCAATGACGTATGTAGGAGCAGCTTACTTGAAAATGGTGACAGCCTGTCTGAATCTAGCTTCTAAACAGTAACATGGATGACAAAGTGACTATCGCGAAATAAATGTTTGCTTTACGAGTGAAACTAATTGCTCGTCTTGTGTAGACATTCTCAATTCAGTGCACTGAATCATACGAAGTTTGGTAAAACGTAACGTCAGCCTATAAAAGTGTTTAATGTTGTGTGCTAGCTTCCTCTGCAAAAACCTCGTTGATACATTAATGCTAAACCCGATAGATTAAATAATCCACGTTATATTTTTAACATATACCAAGAGCAATGCATTCAGACTTTACTCAATGTTTTGGATAATGCTATCCAGTCAGCTAACGTTACCGCTGTCGCGATGTGTAGAGTGACAGTGGAGGTCTGCAGTTGGACCCCTCTCAACCATAGGCTTGTGATGAGGCAAGTACATTATACAGCAACATATAAAGAATTAACCCCCCTTAACTCTAATGCTTGGTAAAATGGTTAAAGAGAAATCCCATTGTCTAATTAACCTGTCTAGGAACACTATGATTGTCACTCTCTCTACTAACTAAGGAGAGGCTGAAGGGATGATCTTGGTTTTAACCCCTATTGAATATTACCACAGAAAATACTGATCTACACAGATAAAGAGCATGTGATGAAACAAACATGAAGAACGCAACAGCTCAGTTTCCTTCTTTGTATTATGCAAAAAAAAAAAAAAAAAAAAATCACATAACATTTAGACATCAAATATGAAAATAAAAAGGGAAACAATCTGAAAAGACCCGGGTAATATAGTTAATAGTCTTCGGTAAACTGAGCGCACTCTTTTGTTCTTCACAGGCCTGCATTAGTTTGTTGGCGCGCTTAATGTTGGAGCTCATAGAGTGAAGAAAGCAAGAATACATCCTTGCATGGAGTAGAAAACACAGATCCTACCACGTCTGTAACTCTCTCTCTCTCTCTCGTCAGGGCGACTTCATCTGCAGCAGCACAGCAAGGTTTAAGCTGCTTCGTCCGTCCATCCCCGACAGCAAAACAATCCCCAGTGAAGGAAAACACCATCTCCAATCATCCAGCAGGTGAACGACCTGTCTGCTGTCGCTCCAACGACAGTGTCACAATACCGCGACGGCACGAGCTAACTTAGCCAGAGAAGCCATTTGGTCTAAGCTCTTCACAGTAAAAATACAAACACCTCCGGTGGTAGTTCACAGTCCCACAGACACAAACTTCTACGCAGAGAGCGCGGTGTCTAATAAACACATTACAGCCCAACTTTAAGCGTTAAGTGCACAAAAACATTGTGCTGGCTGCCGACTAGCCCTTGTACTCCTGTTCTCTTCTCTGCATTACCCATAGTTCAACATGTATGCGGTCCAATGCAGTGAGGAATGCACAGACCTGTATATTGGGGAGACTAAACAACCACTACACAAACGCATGGCTCAACACAGAAGGGCCAACTCCTCAGGTCAAGACTCTGCAGTCTACTTACATCTGAAGGACAGAGGACACTCGTTTGAGGACCACCAGGTGCACATTTTAGACAGAGAAGATGGATGGTTTGAAAGAGGTGTCAAGGAAGCCATCTACACCAGGGTCGAGAAGCCGTCATTGAACAGAGGAGGGGGTCTACGCCACCACTTATCCCCCACTTACAATGCTGTCCTTTCATCACTTCCCATGAAACTCAACAAACGTAACCTATTGGCCTCAGGTGAAGATACCAACGATGGTCGTTCAGTCTTGGCCACCGATAGTCCTAACGACTGTCGTTACAGCAACCAGGAACACTAACAAACCAGCAGTATGGACAGTCCTGGCAAACGACCCCACTGAGGTTAAATAGCTGAGTTTCCCTACCAGTCAGTCAGAACTGAAGAAGTCCTTTGGATGAGGGACGAAACGTCTTCCAGTATCTTCAACCAAGTCCAGTTGCCCTTGACTTTAACCTTCGTTGGATAACTATGACCTGGATGACTGAGAATCTTCATAGACGACTTAAAGAAGAAGAAAAAAAAGTGGTGGCGCTCCTAATTCGCGTGTGTGAACTGGAGACTTACTCAGGAAGGTGGAAGTTGAAGGTCTACGGAGTGGCCGAAAACGTGAAGGAAAAGATTACAGCTTTTCTGGAGTATTCTGCCAGATGACAAGCTGACACCCGCGATCGACGTCGCCCATCGCATTGGGAAGCTAACACCAGCCAGCTCTCGGCCGAGAGCAATCAACATCAGGTTCTCCCAGAGATCCTACAGAGATGCTCTATGGAAAGCAGCAAAAATCCACCCCATCATGCGTGTTTCCGTCAGTATAGTTTCTTTAAACGCCAGGGGGTTAAGAAATATAACTAAACGTAAAGCTTTATTTTTATTTGTTAAACAATTGAACACAGATTTTTGTTTTGTCAGGAATTTCACTCAAACTCAAATGAAGAGAATTTTTGGAGATCTCAGTGGTGGAACGATTTATGGTTTTCTCACTGCTCAGAAAGATCAGCTGGTGTCTTAACGTTGAAGCACAAATATAATGGTGACATTTTACACACAGATACAGATCCAAAAGGGTATTTTATCTGCCAAGTTTGTTTTAATAATTTTCAACATCTATGGGTACAATTCTAATTTAGAAAACGTCCAATTATTAACATAGAAAATAGACTAAAGCATTGGCTAACAAAATTTCCAAACTCTCACATTTTACTTGGAGGAGACTTTAATGCTACTTTAAATTCGGAGATTGACAGATGGCCACCTACAAGTGATAACAATAGAAATGCATATTTTAAGCTTTTTATGGACAGGTATGATTTAACTGACGTATGGAGAGTTAAATTCCCAGAAGTAGTTTCATTTACCTGGAGTAACAAAGACAACACTAGACTTTCTTGCATAGACTTCTGTTTAGTATCAAAAGTTTTAAAGGGCAGGGTATCTCTTAATATTCTTCCCTGTCCCTTAAGCGAACATAAAGCAGTATTCATTTCTATTAAATTATTTTCAGATAATGATTATAAAGCCAATTACTGGAAACTAAATTCTCTTCTTAAAGTGGAGGAAGTTAAACAGAAAATCCCACAGTTGATTAAACATTTTTTTAACAAAGCTGTGTTAATTGGGAGTTATTTAAATATGAATCAGAAAAATACCTAAGGAAGGTTGGTAGCAATCTTGCTAAAATGAGAAAATTAGAGGAACAAAGAGTTATCACAGGCATTTCGGTAATGTCTCAAATATCACCAGACGACTTAACAGAGGAGGAAAAAATAGAAATGCTTAATCTACAAGAGAGCCTGGATAAAATATATAAAAAAGGCAAAAGAAGATTTTATAAGGTCTCGGAAACAGTGGTTAGAGGAAGGGGAACAAAATTCTTCATACTTCTTCAAACTGGAAAAGTATCATGCAAAGATGCAATGTTTAGAACTGTAAAAGACAACAAGTCTCCTGGGACAGATGGTCTATCGTCTGAATTTTATAAATTGTTTTCCCAGCAGATGGCGCCCTTCTTACTGCAGGTATTTCATGAAAGTATAATAGCCAAAACCTTACCATGGAGTTTGACTCAAGGTTTGATTACTTTAGTCCCTAAACCAAACGAGGATTTGCTTTGTATCGATAATTGGCGTCCAATTAGCCTATTGAATAATGATTACAAAATTTTGGCCTTGATCTTTGCTAGAAGAATAAAAAAGCATTAGATTCTATAATTGATGAAACACAATCAGGCTTTATCCCTTAGAGGCATATCTCCAACAACATTAGATTAGTCTTAGATTTAGTTGACTATTCATATGTAATTTCAGACGACAGCTTCTTGTTTTTCTTAGACTTTTTCAAGGCTTTTGATACTGTCGAACATAATTTTCTTTATCATTCACTCAGGAATTTTGGCTTTGGGGATTTCTTTTGTGATGCAATCAAAACTGTGTATAGTAATGCAAATGGCTCAATAAACTTAAAAATGGGTCCTCACCAGATTTGAAATCAGACGTGGAATTCGACAGGGATGCCCTATCTTTTTTTACTTGCAGACGAACTTTTATGTGAACATATTAAAAATAGGAATTTGCAGGGCATTTCCATTGCTGAAAAAACAGTCATTGTTAGTCAGCTGGCAGATGACACAACATTGTTTTTAAAAGACAGCTCCCAGGTTCCTCTTGCTATTGACTTAATGGAAGTCTTCAGTAAAGCCTCTGGTCTCCAGTTAAACCTTAAAAAATGTGAATTACTGGCTCTTAAAGATTGTGATGTTGAGTTAATTGCCAATATTCCTGTGAAAAGCTCTATTACTTACTTAGGTATTGTAATTGATAAAAATGAACCCCAAAGATGCAAGAATAACCTCACTCCCATTGTTGAAAAAATGAAGAAGAAATTCAACCTGTGGCTATTACATGATTTATCTTTGAAAGGCAGGATTTTACTCTCAAAGGCCGAAGGAATATCAAGAGTAACATATGCTGCTCTATCTTTATATATAGATCAACAAATGTGCAAAACCATAGATAAAATCCTTTATGATTTTGTATGGAAAAATCGCAATCATTACCTGAAAAAGTCTGTTTTAATGAATGAGTACAGTAAAGGTGGCCTTAGTTTTCTCAACTTTACCTCTTTAAATTTCACTTTCAAGATTACTTGGATTAAGCGGTACTTAAATTGCCCAACCAGTCTTTGCAATTATATTCCCCATTATGTCTTTTCTTTAGTTGGTGGTCTCCAGTTCTTGTTGGTATGCACTTATAATATTGAAAAAATTCCTCTTAAACTTTCTTTGTTTCATAAACAAATGCTACTGTCTTGGTCCCTAATTTACAAGCACAACTTCACTCCTCATAGGTTTTATATTTGGAACAACAGATATATTTTATATAAAAACAAATCCACTTTCTGTCAACAGTGGTATGACAATAACATTTTGATTGTAAATCAGTTATTCAACCAACGTGGTCAACTTTATAACTACACTGAATTTATTCATCACTATGGTATCCATATTTCTTCTCCATCGTCTTCAATGCGATACCTTCAGCTGTCATCTCACTTTTCAAAGGTTTCAATGGATTTGATGATTCCCTAACACTGGTGGATGTGAACAAAGGAATATCTGTTTTTCGCTGCAACCTAAAAGTAAGAATAAGGCAATTCGTCAACAGGATATCAGGAGTACACCCGCTGCTGTATCATATTGGTCCTCATTTGTTGGAGAGATTTGTTGGGAAAAAGTTTGGCTTTTGGCACATGTCACAAGTTTTTTTTTACCAAAAAAAGTGAGAGATTCAAAATGCTTCACATGTTTTACCCCACTAACTATTACCTGCAAAAACTGAAAAGGGACTTGGACATCAGCTGTACTTTCTGTGAAGGACTAAACCAAACACTGGTGCATTTATTTTGGTCTTGCCCACATACCAAGAATCTTTGGAGCAAAGTTTCTCAATTTATTGTTGTCCATATTTACCCTCAATTTGCATTGCGGTGTGAAAATGTATTGTTTGGATTCACTAAACATGACAAAAAATTATGTTTAGAGTATTATGTGGTAAATTTGCTTATTATTTTAACCAAATTTTATTTGCACAAGTCAAAATTCTTAAAAAAGAAACTAAGCTTTCTGGAGCTTGCTGCTAACATTAAGCACTATGTTCTTTCAATATCTGAGTGTACAAACAAAAAAGCTGTTAAATGATATGACCTCTATAAGCTTTACAAGATATTCATTTAAATTTTTCTTTTTCTTTTGTTAAAAATTATACTTTCCTTTTGATAACCCTTCACCTCCCTGGCTTATTTTGTAAATAAACTTGATTGATGTAGCCTACAGAAGATGTTGTTTTCCTGCTGTATGTACTAATTTTGAATAAAGTTTTGGGGGGAAAAAACAATGGAAAAAACCCTTTCTTAATTCAATTCAAATTTGCTTTGTTGGCATGAATGTTAATACAACAGTATTTCCAAAGCTTCAAGGAAAACCCAGAAAATAATTAAATTCATATAGTTCATCGAATAAATACAATAAAATAATTGTATTTCTCTATATTGAATATAGAATAATATCTAATATTTTTAATTTGTCTACATCTCTATCAGTACGGCTGTGTCTCCTCGCAACGATAACAGCAGCCATCTCCACGTAATGCTTGCCGGATTGCACCTTCCTTTCAAACGTATTAAATACAGCTGCTGTTGCACTCACACGAAATTGCTTTTAGGCTTGTTAAATCACATTGCGTGTGGTAACTAAATGTATTTGCATGTTACATCCCATTACTTTTCACAATAAAATTGGTACGCCCCAAACTGCATATTCATTAAGGCAAAAGACTAGTAAATTAACAACAGGTACTATCTTGCACTTTTGAAAGACGTCAATCTCCGTGCACACCATTAGTAAATAAGCTTACATGTTAATTTGTTGGTGATATCAAGTTTGCACATGTTTTTTCTCATGCAGACCTTTAGTAAATCTACCCTATGTGTGGGGAAAACCATGGCTTTCCAGCCTTTTAAATACCCGAACTGTCAGTCACAGTTACTAGGCCCAATGAAAAATATAAACACCAGCATACCTTGTTACTGAAAACCAACCAGAGCTTCATAGAGTAACAAGATCCTTAGTTGAATACTCTGGTAGTGTCACCTGGCAACAATTGCTGTAACACCTGATGAAGGCCATGAAACACTTCCACAGTTTTTCAGGCTAGACACCAGAAACGACCTGTTGTGGCTTACGTTTTATCCAAGTGAAAGGAGGATCTGAAAGAAAGATGGGTAATGTTGACTATGACAAATCATGCCTTAAATGTTGAATTTTGAATGTTTGTGAGCTTTCTCCTCTTCCATCTGGGGTCTGAAAGCACTGACTGACATGTAGTAAAGGTACATGTATGAAACACTTTCAGACTAGTGAATTTCTTCCCATGTTTTAAGCTCACATTTTTACATATATATCACAATACTTTGGTTTGGTGTTTATGTGAGCCCTGACTGGACAGCAGATTATGTTTTCTTGATGAAGCACTAGGTGTTTGGTGTTTCATGGGGAGGAGGTTAATATTGTTTTGATAGGGTGGGGCTATTTAACAGTGCAACATAAAAAGGCAATCACAGCCTCTCTGTCCAGTTGCGATCATGAAGGATTCATTACCATGTCTGAGTCAACGGGTAAGTGTGGACTTCATGTGATATTGGGTGTATAGGTCTGTAATCAATCCTGAAGTTGAACAAGTTAAATGTCAGCTAGATAAAGATACAGCCTCTGCAGCTTTTAAAGATTATTAGTCCGTAACTGACGAGAGGTTTCCAACTGATATTTTTACTTTCTCAGAAATGCTGCCTAAATTTGAGAGTATGGTTCACCCGGAGCAAATGATGCAGCAGCTGCAGAACAATAGAGGGGTGTCTAGTTTTAAAAAGGTGAGTGTGTGGCCTGTTACATGTTTTTAACTTGTGATCAAACAGTGTCATTATTGTTAAACGTTTACCAGCATGATGATTGAATGGGTGAGAGTGGTTGACTTTGTTATTAATTGTACAGGTTGGCTTCAAGAAATATTCTCCTTGCTGTGATAAGAATAGGAAGAATAACAATGCATGAAAGGCAAAATACATTCAGCTCTAATAATGAAAGTTTACTTCTCAATTTATTTGTGGAGAATATGAAAGCTGGTGTGCTGCATATTAGAACATCAAAATTCTACGTAAGTCCATATAAGTACAGTACTTAATTACATTCCACTACTGGATACTTGTCAATTTGTGAAAACCCTGAACTATTGTACTGCATATCCCACGCTTACAAGTACAAGTTCATGTGAGTTTATCATTTACAAACTACACTATGTATCTTTTATTTTATTTGTGGATTATTCGTATTCCTGTTTTGGATTTCATTTGACATGTAACTAATCCACTCTCAGTGATGCAGTCTATTGATCCAGAAATTACATCCGGCTACTTTCTGTCCCAGTCTGCTCGCCTCTGACATCACTGATGCAGTGCCGAGTGAAAGCCAGCACCCACAGCACTTACTGCAGACGCTGCGCTGTCCTGCCATGCTGTCAGCTCCCAGTCTGAGGCAGATCTGTGTACCGTAGCAGCACCCCATGTTGCCTCCAGAATGGGGGAAGCTGAATTACGGATGTTTGACACTCTGGCGATCAGCGCTGCCAGACCCTCTAAGCACCTTTCTCTCTCCCCGTCTTTCCAGCGCTGCGCTTTTGCCGCCTGGATCAAGGAGAGAATCCACAAGAGGGAATGTTGCTTCTTTTCAAAAGGTGACAGGTAGGAGGATAAGCTGCTCTGTACTGTGTCTGGTTGGTGATGAATTTCTCTGAACTGACCTTGTAGTTGCTGCTGCTGCTGTTGCTGCTGCACAAACTGTAGCAGCTCTCTGTTGTGTTGATGTGAAAGGAGGCACCGCCCTGTGAGGGCAGTTCTACATGTTAAATGACTCTATTAGATACTTTCCAGTTAATTCAAATCAATGTCTTCCTTATGCATGATTTAGCAGCCTTGTTTTGTCTTGATGCTACTGTGCACCCTTGGTAGATGGAAACATTAGTTTAGTAGTTTTTGTTTCTCCACTAGAGAGGATGTATGTGAGTGTGGCTACTCAAAGAGCAATCATGTGGATGAAGCCATCAAGCCAGAGGACTTCACAGGCGAGTCATGGGACAAACACAGACATGTCCGGGAAGTATGCACTGATGCTTTCGGAGAAATCTGCTTTGGTGGTTTGGGACAGAAGATGGGCAAGGTGAAACCACCATTTCTCTCCATTATAATAACATTACTTGAGTGCATGTAAATGTCTGTCTGCATGTCTTTATCCTCGCCTTTTACGTATGTGTTTGTGTGTGTCCATTCTCAGTATGTGCGAGTGTCCACAGACACCAGCCCTGAAATCCTGTACCAGTTATTGACTGAACAGTGGAACCTTTCCCCTCCCAACCTCCTGATCTCAGTGACGGGAGGAGCCAAGAACTTCCATCTGAAGGCTCGTCTAAAGAACATGTTCCACAGAGGTCTTATCAAAGTGGCCCAGACAACAGGTCAGAGATGTGATGTCAGGGTGATTAGCCAGAGAGTTAATGTGTAGTTATGGAGTGTGGGTCCCGCCTCCTCTCTGTTTGCTCCACCTCCATTCTTTTGGTCAAAGTTCAAATACACTGTGAACTGTTTGCCTCGAAGTTCCATTCCTTCTGCCTGAGATTGTGCTGTTTAAATAGCAGTGTTTGCTTATTTACTGCTCACTAATCTTACTGACTGGGCCATGACTGTTTTTTTTTGTTTGGGTCAGGCCCCTTAGTTACAATTAATGGAAATATGAATACTACAGTATACAAGGATATTTTAGATGTGCTTCAAACATGACAATGCTCCTATGCACAAGTGAGCTACTTTTAATACTAAGCTGAGACCAAAGACCTGGGATCTCATGATTCTTCTAAGTTTTCTCATAGTGACCTCAGGAGCAAATAACTCATCTGTGTTACTTACTCTGATCAAAATAAGAGATCTCTAAATGATCTTAAATAAGTGTAATTTAAAGGATCAAGAAAAAGGTAGAAGATATGTCTTGGTTTTGTCTTTAGGGGTGGAAAATGAAGTGCTTTTACTCAAGTACTTAATTCAAATGTTAAGGTTCTTGCGCTTGAGTATTTTCTTTTTAGGGGTCTAAATTTGGGGGGCTGGAGGCTGGAGGCTGGAGCCAATCCCAGCTTACATCGGGCGAAAGGCGGGGTACACCCTGGACAGGTTGCCAGTCCATTGCAGGGCCTTAGCTTATTTATTGCTGTTTTTCTGAAACCTGTAGTTACAAGTAACTGTGAAGAAGAATAAAATATATCCTGTCATTGAAAATAATGCATGTTCAAATTTCCTGTTTTCCTGTTTGTTAAGGTAGTTACAGCCAGCATAACTGGAACACCCACCACTCTGACATGATGTTTAGAGATGAATTCAGTAAGGACAGAAGAACTGAGATACAAAAACTAGAAACAACAATGTCATACAGAATAAGTACTTTTTGATACTTAAGTACATTTACTTAACACTTTACATTTACTATACTATTTACTATACTTTTATACCTTTACTTGAGTAGAATGAATCTTGAGGACTTTTAATTGTGGATATGGTATTTCTCCTCTTTTGAGTAAAGACAAATGTACTATATTTAAAGACAACCAGTTCTTCATTGTTAATTGTAGCTGGATGGTGCAGTGGCAGCGTCGTTGCTCTTTGAATAGCAAAATGTGAGTTCAAATCCTGCTCAGGACAAAGTTCCAGTAAGGTTCTTCAGGCATAGACCACTAACTCATTAACGTCTCCCTAGTGCTCCTAATGGCTTTTTAGGAGCAATAAGCAAGAAATTAATGAACTCAATAAGATGCAAAGATGAGATTTCATCTCTTCCTTCCACTTCTCCTATTGTAATCTCCATTAGTCTTACCCAAGTCTCAAAAACTCAATCTCTCCTTATCTTTTTTACTAAGGGGGTTTTAGGAGCAACAGTTCAGGTTGAAGATATCTCAATAAGACACAATGATGAGATCTCATCTGTTACTTCCATTTCTTCTATTGTAATCTCAATTCATTATCCATTAGTCTTACCTAAGTCTCAAAAACTCAATCACTCCTTATCGTGTCTTTTCTACTAAGGGGGTTTTAGGAGCAACAATTAAGGTTGAAGGGATCTCAAAAAGATATATGAGATCTTAGTGCTATCTCAAGAGTTAAAGAAATGAATATTCTGAGCAAAAGATTTTTCCTCTGGGAAAGACAAGAAACAGGGGAGGACAGCTAGACTGGCTGGGAGCAGTGACTTCCTGGAGTCTTTTCATCACTGTGAGGTTGTCTGATTTGAGAAAATTTTACTGTACACATACTATATCGCCATAAAATGTGGAAATATAGTAGCTATATGTACAGTATGTGGTATGCAATTGAGACACATGTTATGTTCTACACAGGTGCATGGATCATCACCGGTGGTACGCACACAGGTGTGATGAAGCATGTAGGGCAGGCTGTGAGAGACTATGCCCTGAGCAGCTCCCTGCAGGGCCAGATCGTGGCTATCGGAGTACCAACGTGGGGAGTAATTCACAACAGGGATGCTTTGGTGAATTCAGAGGTATGATAAACACATTTACACAGGTGGCTTGCCTCTTGCTTTTGGCATGGATTCATCACCTGCATAGCATACAGTCTTCTTGCACAGCATATCCAATTTGTTTTATGCTCCTGTAAATAATTAAATGCCATATTGTCTTTATTCTTCTTCAATAACTTTTTCCTTTCTCCCTCCTCCTCCTCTTTGCGTGCAGGGTTGTTTTCCAGCTCATTATTTGATGGACATCAAGGGCCAGGGCCGACTCTCCTGCCTTGATAACAACCACACCCACTTCCTGCTGGTGGACGATGGGACGCAGGGACGATACGGTGTGGAGATTGAACTGCGTAGCCGTCTGGAGAAGTACATCTCTGGAAAGTCTCTTGGAACAAAAGGTTATAGCTGATGCCTTGTCTACAAAAGCATCAAGCCTTTTACAGATAACATCTCAAATCTGATTTTACTTTTTATCTGTCTGGCTTTTACTATTGATGTTTTATTGTCTAACCTCCAGAGAGTGGCATAACCATCCCTGTGGTCTGTTTGGTTTTGGATGGAGGACCAGGCACTCTAAATGTGAGCTATCAGTTTTCTGTCTCTCTCTCTCGGTGTAGCTCTGTCTTGTATGACTGTCTTGTGCTTCTCCTCTCAGACCATCTATAATGCCATGCAGAATAATACACCATGTGTGATCTTGGAGGGCTCTGGGAGAATAGCAGATGTGATAGCCCAGGTGGCAGGACTGTCAGTGACCCAGGTCACTATCGCCCTCATCCACCAATTAATGAAAAAGTTCTTTGGCCAAGAGTCTGAAAACTTCCGCAACCTCATAGAATGGACCAAGAAGGTATGTGAACATACTGACAACCTCAACAATTAAAGACTGATTACCAAGCTACCTTTTTGTTGTTGCAAACAAGATGAAAAATCTACAGCTAGTGGCTCTCTGTGCTTTACTTAGCCACAGCTGTGCTTTAAGCTAGTGTTCACATCAGCATGCTAACATGCTCACAATGACAGCGCTATTTATCATAAACCATAGTATTGTAAAATTTTGACCATATGATGGTGCTAGATCAAAGATCAGCTCAAGATCAGATCAAAGTTGTTAAATTTACACTATGGGGACCATGAATGTACCAAATATATGGAAATCCATCACGTAGTTGTCAAGACATTTCACTCCCGAAAATCAAGAGATCACCAAATTTAGTCGGCCCTCACTCTCTGGGGATCATTAATATATAATGTATAAAATAGTATATTATCTAAATAAAATAGTATTATTATATTAAAATAGTAGTATAGTGGTATTTTTGAGAAGTTTTAATTTCAACTTGGATTTAGATCCCATCACAGCACAGAAAGTGCCCCTCTGGAGGTTATTAACAATCTCCTGGCTGCGTCTGATTATTGATAATGCTTCATCCTCTACTTCACTTCTCAGTTTTAAGCGCACTACAGATTTTTTTTCCTTTTGGTGATGGGTGGTGATGGCGAAATGGATAAGACATATGCCTTTGGTGTGAGAGACCCAGGTTCAATTCCCCCTCTGTGACCCCATCCACCATTGTGTCCCTGAGCAAGACACTGAACCCCTAGTTGCTCCAGAGGTGTGCAACCTCTGACATATATAGCAATTGTAAGTTGCTTTGGATAAAAGTGTCAGCTAAATGAATAAATGCATTATTGGCAAATACAGTTTTTTTAAATGATTAATACTTGAAATTTCTAAATAGTTCATCAAATACATGTCTAAGCAAAATGTCAACTAATAGCACTCGGCTTTGATATAGCATACAAAACATCTCTAAGTAAAAGCAGGGATATAAAGAATAATGTGCAAACATTATGACATCAACAAATGTTTAAGGCAGAAAGGCTTCCACAAATTTCGCCCCCTCTTAGACCTCCATAAAAGATCTCTCAAAGGAGTTCTCCTTTATCATAAATGTTAGCGAGACCATCAAAGTTGTAGACTTGGTCTGTTAACTGATTTCCAAAACTTGGCTATGGTTTGTCTTGCTTGTAAGAATCAAAAGATAGGCAAATACAAAGTCTTTTTTTTTGCTGACAGCACTCTGATTTTACTGCCTTGAGGCAGATAGAGTGCTGGATGTCCAACACTTTTCTGCAGCTGCGTAACTAGAAGTCAAAGATCACATTATTCTTCTGTGACCCCAACTCCTTTCAGCTCATCTAGTATAACCTTGCCAGTCTTTTAAAAATCTATATGCTAGAAATCCGGGGTCCTGCTTAACACTGACGTCGAGGAGGTTGTACAGTCCTGCTTTTCCCCACTTAAAAACATATCCAAAGTTATATCCAAAATATTTTCTATCATCTGCTGACCTGGAGAAAGTGATTCATGCTGCTTTGAGGCAAAAGGCTGCACAGTGTCTGCTTCCTGTGCCAGATTCAGGACATCATCAGGATGTCTAACCTTCTGACAGTATTCAGAGTCAGCGAGGACAATCATGGGGATCTGGATGTGGCTATTCTTCAAGCACTACTCAAAGGTAAGGATTTGGTTTTCATGCTGATAAATGGTGATAGACATACAAGACATCATTATGTACGAGGATGGAAAGGCTTGGTGCCCAACCAGCTTCTTCTTAGCAAGTATAATGTTACCTCGCAGAAAATTAAGTGAATGGACTGTGGTATCAAATGTGCTAAGGTCAAAAACTAATTACGATATTCTTGCAGATATTTCCATCTTAATAATTGCTTTTCTGTACAGAAAGACAATGATAGCCACACTTTACAGTAATGCTTCTCGCAAATGTATTCTTTCTCATGGTGGTCTTGAGAAAGGCTGACGAAATCCATTTAGATCAAGCTTAATGCTTTGTTAAAAAAGGTATACTGAGCCAAAGTGCCCCTAATGACCACCAAGCTGATAATACACTTAACGCTCCTGATGGCTCATCATTCTTGCTACACTGTTTTGCCTAAAGTTTCATTAAGAGTGGAATCAAAATGCATTTCCAGGCAGTCATCCTACTCACTTAGCAGGCACAAATCTTTTCATCTGTGCCGCTAAATTTAATAATAGAATCTTTGTTTTTGACCATGCAGTGTGACCCCAGGTTGTGGCACGAAATGCTGAAATAATTGATCAACTTATCAATTTGTTGAGAAAATTCGTTGAATTATATGATTGATTGCTGCTTTACTCCATTTAACATTGCTGTAAATTGAATAATATCTTTGGGTTTTGAACTGTTGGTGTGAAAAAACCCCACTGACAATTAACAGACTTAGCTGGGTCAATATATAGTAAAAATTGCCTTGATTGAGGGCTGTGGATGATCGTTTGGGTTTCTCTCAAGCAGTCCGTTGACTCCATGTAAACAGAATGTGTTAAGAGTGTCACTTAAAATTTGTCACTATAAATTCTCCACTCAGCTTCGAGGACCAGCGAGTCACTGGGAATGGAGTACTGGAAGAGGCAGCTTGAGCTGGCTATAGCCTGGAACCGAGTGGACATAGCTGAGACTGAGATCTTTCCTGATGAGAGCCAGTGGAAGGTGGGTTCTATTATACAACATACTAACTTACTACTAATTATACAACATACTAACAACATGCTGCACTGCATGCTAACTGCTGCTAACTTTCTATAGTGCGTTGAAAAGAAAATATCATAGTAATACTGTATAAACAATATACAGTAGTATAGCAGTAATTTCCTGAAAAAACATAGTAACACTACAGAACTGAAGAAGTCCTTTGGATAAGGGACGAAACGTCTTCCAGTAGCTTCAACCAAGTCCAGTTGCCCTTCATTTTAACCTTCGTTGGTTAACTATGACCTGGATGACTGAGAATCTTCATTGACATAGTAACACTACAGGAAACACTAGCAATACTATATGCACACTATAGTATTACTTCACTTAGTATTTTTATAGTATGAATATCGTAATAAAGTGCGTTCCAACTGGCTTGTTCTACTGGCTTGTTCCCATCCAGTCCAGTGACCTCCATTGGGCCATGTTCTCGGCCCTGGTTGGCAACAAGCCTCGGTTTGTGAGTCTGCTGCTGGAGAACGGTGTGAGTCTCAGGGACTTCCTGCAGGACATGGAAACTCTGTGTGATCTCTACAGACAGCTGCCCGGCTGCTTCTTTCTCCGCAAGCTGGCCAAGCGGGTCCACAGATCTCGCCACAGCAGGGGGCAAGTGTTTGGAAACAGGCCTCGGTGTCCCTCAGGGCACGGCGAACTGATCAACATGACTCATGTGTCTGATGAGGTGCGCCACCTGCTGGGCAGTTTCACCGAGGCCCTCTACCCCCCCTCTCCCACGGCAAATCACTTCAACATGACTATGGTGGATACATCTCTATCAGTGAGTCTGTTTATCCATTAAATACTGTGCTCTGCAATGTCAACCAGTGTATGGGGAAAACACACACTATGATTGAATGAATTTAGTTTGGCACAAAAACAAAATGCTTCATACTACACATATACATACCCACTAATCTGATTACGGTCATGGTAAAAACCTCTCACATGGTGATATTTTCTGGGTTAATTCCAGTATGATTTAAATAGACTACTTCTGTGCAGACCTCCCATCATCAGCAAAGAGTTTAGTAAGTATTCAGTTAGGCCAACAAATAAATAAAGGGATAAAGGATTCAGTATTTGTTCACCAGAATTGTGGAGAGGGTGTTTTCGATCTTATGTTTAGAAATAAAATTTACAGGAAGTATAACTGACTAAAAACAGATTTTTTTAAGGGGCATATGACTTGGGAGAGTTTTATAATTAGTATATCTGAAATCAAAGCTACAGCCATAAACAATGCAATTAATGCAACAAATTCCTTCACTTTTCCTCTAGCTGTCTAAGAGTCAGGCGGGTTCCCCAGCTCCACTCATTGAGGACAGTACTGAAGCACAGAGGGACTCAGGGACAGACCTTTTCCTTTGGGCTGTTGTCCAGAACAATAAGGAGCTGGCTGAAATTGCCTGGGAGCAGGTAAACACTTACTCTAATACAGACAAGGTTTGAAAATGGTCATTTGTGTGTTGTGCGTATACATGGCCTTGCAGAAAGATTTCTGTATCTGTATGTGCACAGTGCAGAGACTGCATGTGTGCTGCCCTGGCCGCCAGTAAGATCCTGAAGAAAATGGCAGAGGAAGGAAGTGATGCAGATGAGGCAAAGGACATGCAAGCGCTTGCCAATCACTATGAGAAACACGCCATTGGTAGAATACCACAGACATAATGAGTGGCTTTACTGGTGTAAAATATAGGGATTTTACAAGGTTAACATTTGTCTTCTGTGTGTGTGTGTGTGTCCCAGGTGTGTTCAGTGAATGCCACAGAAGTGACGAAGAGCGGGCTCAGAAGTTGTTGGTTCGTGCGTCACCATTCTGGGGAAAGACGACGTGTCTAAGGCTGGCACTGGAGGCTGATGATAAAAGCTTTATAGCTCAGTCAGGAGTTCAGGTAGAGCAAACCTCCACATTTATATATTTAGGGACTTTTCTTCTAACAGTTTTAGAATTCAGGAGTGCGTCTTGATATCCTGAGACTTCTATCTGTTTGCACTGTAGAACATTCACTGCACACAAAGTTTTTGGAGTAGACAAAGTAGAACAATTGTGATCAGTGACTTTAACTTGATGAATGAGTATTTCAGCAGCATGAATCGCTGTAGGTTCAGCACTACCTGATCTGATAACATGTCTGTCTTCAAGTCTCTTCTGACACAGATCTGGTGTGGTGAGCTTTCAGTTGTCAACCCTGTGTGGAGAGTGCTGATCTCCATTGTCTTCTTCCCACTTATCTTCACTGGCTTTTTGGTTTTCAGGTTAGTCTTATCAGCTGTAAAATAAATAAATATATTTAAATTAGTCAGTAAAAAAGTCAGTCTGACAACTCTCCCAGATTCAAGGGACTTGCACAAGATGTCAACACAGACAAAGTTCAGTTGAACCACTGAAGCAGAAGAGCAGTCAGAAATTGATATGCTCTCCAAAACTAAACTACCTACTCAATATGACCACATTGATTCAGCACATCTGTCTGCATGGTGTGACTTGGTCTGACAAAACACTAGTAGCAGCAGTGCCACCATTTGTACCACCACTTGTTTCTAAAGGCAGTGCACAAGGGTGAAAACTTGGTAACAGAAGTTGTTGTGCTTGAATTCAGATCCAAGATTATATTTGGAGAAAAAAAAAGAAATATGAGATCTCTTTCCAACAGTTACATGTGTGAAAATGTTAGGGCAGCCATCTTATCACAGTCAGCCTGGCCAATGATTGTTTGGCATGGTCAAACAACAAGCAAGACATGAGATCATCTCATAAGATAATAATGCTGTCATGTATACTGAATACAATTTACTGGTGCTTTCTGATATTTGGATGAAGTCAAATGTTTTTCATGGCCCCTTTAATCACAAGAATAACCATATAAGTATCATAAAGGGGTACTGAGACTCCAGAGTCCATTGTCCTCTTCCTTCATCTTAAAAAAATCTAGAGGCGCACCTTCTTGAGAAACAGTCAGGAAAATGTTTCTTTGCTTAGTTTAGGACCAATACTGTGTGTGACAGCATGTCAAGGAGGTCTGAAGCTAAGTAACATACCACCTATGTGGTCTGCTGAATAAAATGTAAGGTGATTCTATTACTGTCTACTTACAGTAATAAAAATGTAATAACATTCAATACAGATTCATAGATTTGGTGTAATATAGCAGTGCTCTGTGCCTTTCTCCCACAGAAAACACACAGTATTTGTATGTATTTGACACCATCTGGTGGCAGCAAGACTTCTTTTAATGTTTTTTCTGCTAACCATAACTGATTTGTGTGTTACTGCTTTCACTACATCTACAGCGATGATTGGTCGATATCGTTTCTTAATTAATAAAATTTCTCCCTAGACGTGATGAAGTCATCCACAGAGAAATTGAGAAGGATGAGGAGATCAAGACAGTGGAGAAAGTGACAGGAAGTACACTTCGAACAAATTCTCACGGCCCGTAAGTAGACAGTTGCCTCTTAATGCACTGACAGCATATGACCCCATCCAGTTCGGAGGTCACTAGCATGTCAGTTAAGGGTAAGCGAGAAATAAGGGTCCCACAACATCAAATGACATTCTGACCCCTGTGACCTCACTAGCCCGCAGCACCTGAAGCCTCTGAGCAAGTGGTCCAGACTGGTCTGCCTGTACAGCTCTCCGCAGGTCAAGTTTTACTTGAACATTGTGTCTTACTTCGCCTTCCTCTTCCTGTTTGCTGTGGTGCTGATGATCGACTTCCAGGCCACGCCCTCTGCCGGGGAGTTGCTGCTTTACATCTGGCTGCTCTCTCTGGTGTGTGAGGAGGTCAGACAGGTGAGAGAGTGCAGCTGGGACATACATGTACAAAAATTTAAGGACAAATCAACATACCCTGAGGTCTGACGACTCGACAGTCTTTTGTCTTGTCTGTTGATTTACTGCATTGGTTCTCTTTCTTTTTTCGTGACTTGAAGTTAAGCAGGCTAGCCAACCAGCTTACATATGCTGATACTGTATCTAGGAAAGGATAGACTGCCAGTTTTTACATGTTATAGTAAAAATACTAAGCTTCTCAGCTTCCTCCTTGCTCTTTATTTATTTAATTCACTTTGCCAGGATTAGTTATTGGGCTCCACCTGAGGTTTTACTCAACCATTATGCTTATTACTACCTCCAGAGTGTGCCTTATTTAAAAAAAATATATCACTACATTACTAAAATCTCCAACTGCCAATTTTAATGATTTTTGTTTTTCTGTCTCAGCTGTTTCATGATCCTGATGGCTTTGGGTTTTGTAAGAAAGCCAGGATGTACATTAATGACCTGTGGAATATTTTAGATGTTCTTTCCATCCTCCTCTTATTATTGGCCTTGCATTTAGGTAAGTTTCCTTCCTTCCAGACAATCCCTTTAGGCCATGGAAGGGCTCTCTGCCCTAAGGGTTATCTATGAATCACCAAGTTTTTCTATTTCAGGCTGACGACTGAGCTGTTCTATGCAGGTAAAATCATCCTCTGCATCGACTTTGTGGTCTTCTGCCTCCGTCTCATGGCCATCTTCACGATCAGCAGAACCCTGGGACCCAAAATCATCATAGTGAAGAGGATGGTGAGATGGCCTCATACACATGAACGCTGGGCTTCTTCCACTCGGCCTCCATTTGGTGTCCGCAGATGAGAGTGCACTTTGCGTTACATAAAAAGTGTTACAGCTGACTAACAGGGCTAACCTTTAAAAAAACTGAAGCTTCTCACTGCAAAATACATAATTGTTGTTATAGATGTGACGCTTTCGGTAGTGTGCAGACTGACAGATCGAACCTTCTGAAGTTTTACATGTTTTGAAAGTGCCCACTGGTTGTGGTATCCAGGCATTTTTCAGTGTGATTGATGTCTGATGTTTGTCCTCCAGATGATGGATATGTTCTTCTTCATGTTCCTGCTGAGTATCTGGGTTGTGGCGTACGGCGTGGCCAAACAAGGCATCCTCATCAACAATGAAAATCGGCTGAACTGGATTCTCCGGGGGGCAGTTTATGAGCCGTACCTCATCATATTTGGAAATTTCCCCACAGATATTGATAGTGAGTGGAGAAGGAACATAGTATTACTTTCTTTGTAGTTGAAAAACTGTAGTGCTGCCAAGTGAAATGACTAATAATGACTAGAATAATATGAATCTTATAAAATTATATACATATTTATTTGTGTATATATGAATCTGGTTTAACTGATTTTTACACGCATTGATCATTTCAAGGATACTTTCTTCACCCTTCACATTTTAAGAGGCCCAGACCTTGTTGTTTAATTAATATGTTACCACTGAGAAAACAATCTCTTTGCCCTCTGCAGATACTTCGTTTGACATAAACTCCTGCAGCATGAATGGCGACGATCCCCTGAAGCCCAAGTGTCCTGTGCTGAATGAAAACCAAACCCCAGCCTTCCCCGTGTGGCTCACCATCATTATGATTTGTGTTTACCTGCTCTTTGCCAACATACTGCTGCTCAACCTGCTCATAGCTATCTTCAAGTGAGTTCTGCTCAATGCCTTTGTGGCTCAATCCAGTCCTAAGATTAATAGTGTGAGATTTTCTTTTGTGCTGTTACTGCAAGTCCTACACTTACTGTAGCTTGGATGATGGTGTTTTCACCACTTTATCACCGGTGTCCCCTTGTCATCCTCTGTCTCTCTTTGTGTCCCTGCACAGCTTTACCTTCCAGGAAGTTCAGGACAACACAGACAGAATATGGAAGTTTCAAAGATACGAGCTAATTAAGGAGTACCACAGCCGCCCTGCTGCCCCTCCTCCTTTAATAATCTTCAGCCATCTTTACCTCTTCATCAGGAACATAGTTCTGTGCAGACCTCCCATCATATGCAAAGAGTTTAGTAAGTATTAAATTATTTATTTCTGCACATACTGAACGACTATATGGGTAGACTTCATGGTTATATGCTGCAGACTTCTTCTCTGGTTGTAAATTTATCACTATAGGAAAACATTTACTTTTCATACAATGACATTCTTACTCATATTAGACTTCACTGATTTTATAATGGTGGGTTTTCATTTAAGAGCTTTTATATGATGTTTTTTACTATAGGGTTACCATCTCCCACATGATCACATCTAAACCATCTCCATTGCAGCTAAGAAACTCCACTAGCAGAAACAAGAAGTGGGATTGTGACTTTTTCTCTATTCTGAGCTTGAAAATAAGAGTTTGACAAAAAGCACTTGCTCGAACTTTTCCAGAACTTTCAGGCCTTTATTAGCAGGTGGAGTTCAGCCATTGTGGTTATTAATATTGTGTGACCTACTTATGGAATTTTGGTTGTTGATGAGGGGAGATGGTAACCCTTAACTAACTTAACTTTAAAGGTAGTCCTTAGATTTGGATATGAATGTCTAATGACTGGGCGATGACCTTTGACTCCTTATCGGTTGATACTGTTGAGTCCATTTTTAGTGTTCATACACAACTCCAGTTTTCTTTAGGATGTACCACTAGAGATTTTAATGTGTTAAAATGTCCCCTTTCTGCTTTAACTCAATGTGTGACGCTGTGTTTCAGAGAACAAGCTTCTTCGGGCAGAGGAAGAGGAGCTGTTGTCCTGGGAGGCCCTGATGAAGGACAAATACCTGCTGTCCACACAGCAGGTGCAGAGCCAGAGCATGGAGCAACGCATCCTGGACACAGCCCAAAAGTAAAATCTCAAAGGAATGTTTCGCAGTGTGGCTGCATAACAACCCTCTAGGGTACTGCTGTCTGTGTGAGACCCCTCATCACAACTTAAATATGTTTTAGTTGTGAGATGTGAGATTTAACCTTCTCCAATTGTTTCATTTGAACTTTGACAGTTATGTAGGGACAAAAAAGATATATATAGAGGTGCTGGTCATATAATTAGCATATCATCTTCAAAAAGTGAAACTCGTATAATGTATACATTCATTCCACACAGACTGATATATTTCAAGTGTTCATTCCTTTTAATTTTGATGATTATAACTGACAGCTAATGAAAACCCCAAAATCAGTATCTCAGAAAATTAGAATATTGTGAAAAGGTTCAATATTGAAGACACTGGTGCCACACTCTAATCAGCTAATTAACTCAATACACCGCATTCCTTGTGTCAAGCCACTCTTGAACAAGACACAGCGTCAGAAGCGTCTCGCCTGGGCTAAAGACAAAAAGGACTGGACTGCTGCTGAGTGGTCCAAAGTTATGTTCTCTGATGAAAGTAAATTTTGCATTTCCTTTGGAAATCAAGGTCTCAGAGTCTGGAGGAAGAGAGGAGAGGCACAGAATCCACGTTGCTTGAAGTCCAGTGTAAAGTTTCCACAGTCAGTGATGGTTTGGGGTGCCATGCCATCTGCTGGTGTTGGTCCACTGTGTTTTCTGAGGCCCAAGGTCAACGCAGCCGTCTACCAGGAAGTTTTAGAGCACTTCATGCTTCCTGCTGCTGACCAACTTTATGGAGATGCAGATTTCATTTTCCAACAGGACTTGGCACCTGCACACAGTGCCAAAGCTACCAGTACCTGGTTTAAGGACCATGGTATCCTGTTCTTAATTGGCCAGCAAACTCGCCTGACCTAACCCTATAGAAAATCTATGGGGTATTGTGAAGAGGAAGATGCGATACGCCAGACCCAACAATGCAGAAGAGCTGAAGGCCACTATCAGAGCAACCTGGGCTCTCATAACACCTGAGCAGTGCCACAGACTGATCGACTCCATGCCACGCCGCATTGCTGCAGTAATTCATGCAAAAGGAGCCACAACTAAGTATTGAGTGCTGTACATGCTCATACTTTTCATGTTCATACTTTTCAGTTGGCCGACATTTCTAAAAATCCTGTTTTTGTATTGGTCTTAAGTAATATTCTAATTTTCAGAGATACTGAATTTGGGATTTTCATTAGTTGTCAGTTTTAATCATCACAATTAAATGAAATAAACATTTGAAATATATCAGTCTGTGTCTAACGAATGAATATAATATCCAAGTTTCACTATTTGAATGGAATTACTGAAATAAATCAACTTTTTGATGATATTCTAATTATATGACCAGCACTTGTGTGTGTGTATATGTGTATATATATATAATAATATGCGTGTCTCATATCCCATTAATGATCTCAGATTTTATCTTTTGACCCCCTTCTGGGGCCTTAATTTTGTGTTGTGTTTGATGAGGCTCAAATTCTAATTTGACTTAATATATAGAGTATAAACCATTATACAGCGTAGGAGTGATATTCAGACATCCATACTGTGCTTGTTTGTCTCCTGAGGGTTGCTGCTATAGCTGATCGGCTGGAGAGGGAGGAGGAGAGAAGCTCTGTTGACACGGTGAAAGGACTGGCTCGACTAGAGGAGCAGGTTGTGACCTATTTATTTTTGGGGGGGGTTATCACTAATGTTGCACCTGTGTCCGTAACATTTCACATTATGCTGCGTGAGCAAAGCACAATATAGAAATGACACACTTCTTGATGCACCCACACGTGTGGCTGTTGAATTTTAATTCCAGATTTTCCCAGTGGAAAATCTGTCATCTTCAACATTGTATAAGCACTCATCAAAATTATTTGACCCACTTTTATTTTGTCTCATCAGGTCATCCAGTCAGCCAAAGCCCTTCAGTGGATTATAGACAGTCTGAAATCTCAGGGTTTCGCAGCAAAAGAAGCACAATTGCCGAGTCAGCAACTACATTACTCATTCATTATTATTGTTAATGTACATCATTTTGCAAATAGACTACATGTCAAATCTCCTCTCGTTTGCACTCTTCCCTGCAGCTCTAATTACAACAGACGAGTCCCTCGACACTTTGAGAAATACTTTAGAGAAAGAGGATGGGTTCCATGTGAACGCCCGTCAATTTCACTACCCAAACAGCAAGCTCACACGCTTTCCTGTGCCTGAGGAGAAGGTGCCATGGGAGGTATTTCATATAAATTTCCAATACAAATTCACCAGCTGCTGGTCCTATCACTACAGAAAAAACGATGCTCTGGGTTTATTAGATGGTTTTCATGTTTTCTCTTTTATTTTCAGGTCCGCTTCAGCTCATACATGCCGACATATTACGTCTCTGAAGAAGGTGGAGACCATATGGATGGGTATGTTTTTAAAAGAAGACCACACATAATGTTTGGTTCCTATTAGGTTTGATGTGTGGATATATTTGCAGCTGAGACAAGTTATTATGGGTGTTTTTGTCAAGATAACAACAGATTTTCCTATTAAAAACAAAGAATCAGCAAAGCCATCTCGAATCTGTATTGACTAACCTTTCTGATCTAACCCTGGGTCCACTATCCACTATGGTCCACTATCTGATTACAAGGCAGCCTTCTTATGTCTTTCTCCTTGCAGATCAGAATCAGAAACCTTACATAATCACAGGTATGATACTGCATAAGATACTCAAGGCATCAAATAGCACTTAAAGTAACCTTACAAGCATGTCTTGATGTCTGATGTGTATCTTGTCTGTCATTAGAAACCCAGGAGGGAGGACGGGCATCACGGGACGTGGTGCACTGAGCCACTTTGGTCCAAATCTGAATGTTGACCTTGTGCTTACACGGTAGGTCATCTCATGTCTCTACGGTTCTTTCAAAAAGGTTGTTTCACCACCACTGGATTGCATGCCGTGATCTGAGACTTTTAAAAAAATTTTAGCTGGCGAGACAGCGCGAGATCTGTTTTGGAGTACCTGGCGGTTTTGGACGAGAGCCAAGGAAATTTGGCTTTACCTGGCGTGAGTCTCACTGTTTGATCACTTCATGTGCTTTTTCTTTAATTTTTGAGTTGTTCAAAATAAATATACAGTTGTGTTGTGATTTTGAAACCTGCAGGGACCTGCCCATTCTGCTGATTATTTGCCGTTGACTCTTCAGAGAATCCTGGGGAAGAAACTGTTTGAAAAAATAAATGCAAAAGTACCAGAGGGAACAAAGGTAGGTCTGCCTTTGTAGCGTAAAGCTCAAAGGTTCCTGGAGGATCAGTTTGGTTTACAGACAGCGACTGGATGATTAATAAAAGCACAGTAATGAATAAGACGCAACAGTAAATTCAAAGTAACTTCACTCAAAAACTTTGAGCGGGACACAACCAAGAGCCCTTAATCTGATGACCTGAGAGGCCTTGTAGACCTGTATGGGAATCAAAAATAACTTCAAGCATTATGGAAACCAACTTTGAGTTTGTAGCCGGGGAACCTACACTCAGTTGCCAGTTTATTGGGCACACCAAGCTAAAACTAATGCAGTATAACACAACAGTCCTGCAATAAATCCTCCCTTCATGAAGATTATGATGTTTATTTTTTGTTGAAACTGTTTCCGAGAGATATTGATTCAACTTTATGGTCGTAGTTGATCTAGTACTGATTTATACAGAGAAAGGCGTTTCTATTAGTTAGCCTAACCTCATTAATATAAATGGGTTGGACAAAGGCAAGAAGACCTCTTCCTAAAGTCTGAGACATGTGATCACCAAAATCTTCTGCCACTTAAATGATGCACTGAGTTGTCAGATATCTGGTGATTCATTAGAACAAGGGAGGAATGTAAAGGGAGTGGGGCCAGCAGATGAACACCAAGTGCAGTGAGTTGCATCCAGGGTTAAGCAAGCAGGTGGGTTTCATAGTGAGACAGTCCAGTGTTTTCCATGAACCACGAGGTGATAGGTTGGGGGGGGTTTGCAGGAGAGCATGTCTGGTGGTGGAGATTAGAAAGCGATTAGCAAAAGCATGTTTCTAAAAAACTAATACAGTTCAGTCTCAAGACACACAATAGACGACTCAATAATCTGGCAGGGACTTGAAATCAGGCTCTTCCTAAATTATGGCAGGATATGGGTCAGGTGGGTGATTAGGAATGAGCGGCAGGTGTGTCTGGATGCCAACCCCGGGAACAGCAGTGTGCCCATAACTCCGCAGCCAGGAGAGAAGGATAGAGAGAGAGAGAGAGAGAGAGAACACACAGACAAAACCAAAATGCAGCAAGCATCCGACATTCATACAAAAGTGAAAAATAAAATCATAAACACTTTCACTCACTTATCAGATGTCAAGGCAGGGGGATCATGACATTAGTAGAGGTTCTTATCAGCAAATTAGTTTAGTTTTTCAAGACACACTGACTGTTGTGCAGGATCACACCTGTAATTCACTATTGCTGATTTGATTTGAAGGAGTAATATTTAATGTAAACATGCTTTTCTGACATTGAGGAACTTGCAAATTCTGACTTGCGGTTGTTGTGTTACTGTGTTTCAGGTGTTTGAGGGTTATGTAGATGACTGCAGGAACACAGATAATGCCTGGGTGGAAACCACTGTCCTAAACATTCACCTGGACAGAACGAGCAAGGAGATGGTAGAAATCAACAGTATGGTAAGAACATTATTATTTTATTGTTTTTAAATACATACCACATCCAATATTTTTTTTATATATGAAGAACTTGACTGATGGACTATTTGTTAGCTCTGCATATGTGTGATCTTTGGGGAGGAACATTTAATTATCCCCCCTACAGGGAATATATAATTCCTTATTGTTTTTTTGATGATCTCCTTCTTAGGTGGTGAGCAGCCATGGTGCTCTACAGTGGCAGGAGGTGAGCGGCAAAACCAGACTTGGCTCAAACCAAAGAGACACTCTGCGGCAGGTTGCTGAGCTGCACAACAGCAAGTTCTGATGTCCACGCTGCTATAGCTGTAAATGTGCCTCGATCCACAGATTTTCTTCTGACTGTTTGTGTGGCCTTTTTTGTTAAGGGTCACGTAGATTCATTTTGCTGCAGTGAAAGCAATTGTGAAAAAAGACACTATAAAGCCATAATGTATGCCTCCTGTGGATTATTTTTCAACAATTTACACAAATGACACAGGACTGTAAACTGAATGTTTAGCTAACACACTGTGCTGTACACTTAATACATGTGTTAGCATTCATATGTGTTCACTGAGAATAAAAACTTCAGCGGTAGGTAACTAAGTACATTTGCTCAAATACGGTACAATTTTGTAGCTGCACAAATATTGTGCTTTTCACTACATTTGTCTGACAGTATAGTTCATAGTTACCTTTTATAAAACATACAGATGCAAATCATCATCAGTTACCAATAAAGTTAGTGAAATGTGCCAAAAGTTCACTATGTATGGTATTGATACAAAACATACAAAGGCAAATCATATTACTGTAAATAAAATGATGCACTGTCACAGATGAAATGTCCAACACTGAATAAAATATCTCAGCTCCACCAACTGCAATAATGTGAGGCATGATAGTCTTTGTAATAATGTAAACATCTGAAAGGCTATACTAATGTCAACTTTTATTTTTTAATATATTTTGCTGCTAATACATGTGTACCTTTACTTGAGTAAAAGTTTAAAAGTAGGAATTTCAAGGAAGCACTGCTGCTTTTATTGATTTCTTCTGCTTAATTTTCCTGTCAAGGTATTTATGTTGCATTTTATTTCACATGTGACCTTTACATATTCAAGAACTCTTAAGTAATTATTAAAATAGCTCCCACAATTGAATTGTCTTGACTGCTTTTGGTGTTTGACAGAAAATGCATGTGCTCTCTCACATTATTCTGCAAAGAGGTTAAACTCGATGTGAACACGCTGGGATTTTTCTCTGCACAGTGAACTCGTGCACATTCCTTGTTGTCTGTTGTCTTCGACACTGTTTTAGTCCACCAGCCAAGCATGTAGCCTTGCAGTAGTTTCGGCGCAGCTTCGGAGGGCGCTCATTGGTTCAGGCAGAGGTGGCCCGACGGTACAGTATCGGTTTCACACCCTCCCCGTTTCGCTGCTTGTTTTTTATTCAGATAAATGAAGTGTTCCTTCACAAGTAAAATCTGAAATCTGCTTTTACACTGAAAATATGCAAAGCGTTGACTTTAATGCAGTGTAAGTGTAGTATGTGTCCTTGTGAACGTAAGTTCCTATTGACTCTTAAATGAAGCCGTTTAATTGTAAAGATTCAACTCTGTGTAATCTTTAGACATTCTGCTAAAATATGTTCCAACATCTGCGTCTTTATTATTATAATTTTTCCGGTAAGTCCCGGTGCAGCCCATCGAAAACATAGAGAGACTATTTTTAACCACAGCGTCAGAGAGGAGAAAAACGAAGAGCTCTCACTCTGCTTATATTTTATGATACCACAAACAGCGCCATAAAGCGAAGCTTCCAATAGAGTCCGCTTCACTGCTGTGAAGTAATTGTGGACGAATTGTATAAGCTACAACAAAAATTGTTTGTTAACATCCAGTTCTGTCAAATTATTATTAAGTTATGTACATCAAATGGACTTCCCAAGATTATTAAGTGAAAAAGCACATTTGTACAAAGCAATGTTGTTTAGCCTAGGTGTAGAGTAACATTTCTGCATATTGTCCCAGAGGCTGCACACTAATAAAAATGATGAAAGTGTAAAAAGCACACAAGAAGGTGAGACAGATACCAAAGTATTTATTTTATACATCTGACATCAACTCTACCTCAGCTCTATAAAGTATACACTATGTACTTATGTAGCTATATACTACATTATTTTGCTAGTTAATAATGAAGAAATCAATGTATATAACCATTTTTACTATAAAGTTAAAATGACAATATCAAACTGTGCCAGTGGACAATTTTAAATCAAAGTTCTTCAAAATTGGACTTCAGACCGGAAGCTGGGCGACTTGTCCTGCTGCTGGATTCATCTTTTAAATAGACGATCTTTAACTACAGGTGTACGAGTGTCCGGAAGTGACGTCGGACGCTCACAAGACCACACCATTGGCTTGGACAGTAAATAGATGGATCGAGGGAGCAGTCGGACATCTCTGAGGGACTCAGCGGAGCAAAGCGGTAATATTCTCAGCTTCTTTTATGACTTCTTTTATGAAAACCCGGCGTTATAGCGAAATAAAACCTTCACATTTGAATAGTGTGACTAGAAGCGATTTGGTTCGCTTGCCGGGTGAAGCTAAATGTGCTGACTGTGGTAGCTGTCAAGTTGAGCTGCGGTCTGTTTGCATTAACACGACGACAGTGGACTGTGACGCCAGCTGTTTACCCTGTTTATGAATGAATTTAGAGCCACACAACAACACCTGCTGCACCCCAGAGATAGACTTTACCACTAGCTGACTAGCTGCTCCTGGTGAGTCAAACAGCAGACAAAGTGGGATCTTGCGTGTTCAAGTATTAAAATAATACTTTTCTGCCTTCATTATGTAACCAGGTGGACAATCTTGTTGAATACTGAGCTGTTTGGATCCAGAAAAAAAGACCTTGTGTGCTTGAACCAGCAGAAGGAGGAAATTATAGGCTGCAGGAGATGAGGCTAAATTATAGTGGGTGGTGAAGAAATGTTTGTTTTTGAGTAAGATGTTGCTCAGCATGTACTTTTGTGTAGTATTTTAACTACGTGGCTCAAACAAAGAGTAAAAAAAGATCCTGGTTGGGACAGGTTGGCAGTGATTTTAATATTCTGCTGTCTCCACTCACACTTATTTCTTTTTATTGAGGATATTATGTGGTGTATACATTCAGTTGCCAGGTTGTTAAGTTTAAGTGTTAACATTAAGTGTCTTAAATTAATGCAACAACCCTGCAATAAATCACGTTCAGCTTTGTTTAAATAGTTTTAGTTTAAACTTCATGGTGATTTTCGAGGCTGTAGTTTGTGGTGCTGGATTGCATCATAATCAGAGCTATTTTGGCCACCTGTTTATACCTGTTTATATCAGTGAGGGGGGACGACATATTAGACACACCTCTCACTATGATGCTATACAATTCAATTGCATTACAAACCAGAAATTCCAGTCTTAAACAATACACCGTTCAAGAAATATAATGCTATCAAACATTTTTAAATGGAGTAATGGTGTTGTAAAGTAATGACAGTTCTTTAAAATGTGTAATTACCTTCAAATACACTTTATAACACCTCTGTCGCAGTCTCCTAAACGACCAAAAGGCAGAATCAACACCTGTTATAACCTTCATGAAGGTAGGATTTGTTTTGCAGGACTGTTGTGTGACTGCATTCGTTTCAGCTAGGTGTACCTAATAAACTGGCGATATGTATCCAAGGTCAGATCATTCTCAGTGTCCCCCATCAGTAGTGGGACCAGCAACACCTCACGTAGCACGCTCTGCTGTGAGCAGTGTAGCAGATCTCAGCGGCCATCTGAATCTCAATCTTGTCCTTTCTGTCAGTCAGCAGTGGAAATGTGTGAGCAGTGTGTGCTGTCCTGGCAGTAGCATCGGGTTCCACCCTCATTGTGCTGAGTGGGACATTTCCAGTAAGTGTGCACGTGTGTCACTAATGGCTTCGCCTCGCTTGTAGCTGCTGCCCGTCTGTGGTGCAGTTACAGGTCACTCACTGCACTAATCAGTCAAATTCAGTCCCCCGCTAACAGCGCGCTGAAGGCTACACCTCTCAGGTGTTCTTTGTGTTCTTAACTATGGCACAAAGGTACCAAGCACCAGGTTTACAGAAAATGTGAGCAACTGAAGATGTGGGCCAGTTTTGCTTTTTTTTTTTTAAAAGTTCTTTAATATATTTTTTATGTTCCAAGAACTCTTTTTATAGGAGAGTGTTGACATTGAACCAACAAAAAGTGAGCAGACTGTTTTTCTTTTCAACAGTATACATTAGCGAAGGCGTGATTCTTCACTTAAGCAGAAACAACAACAACATCCGTTTCATTTCCCGAGACATTACAAAGAGTGTTGCCCTGGAATTTCCTCCCCAACTGCAATGCAATTTTGATAATTGATTAATCAAGAAAGAATGGCCAATATCTCTGCTTCCAGCTTCTCAAATGTAAAGATTTAGTCCTTGTTATTTTCTATCACTTTCTTCTCTCAGAATCTTTTGATGACTATTTCTTGACTAAATGATTAATCCATGAATAGATAGGGTTGGACGATATGGCCAAAATTTTTATCACGATAAGTATCAAATCGTTATTTCTTTCGAGTTTAAAGGCTGATTTTTGCTCCTGAGTGAAAGTTAAAGAAACCTGATGGTTAATTGTGGTTTAAACTCTTCTTTATGGTCAACACTTGTGGATCACTTCACAAATCTGAGGCAGAACATTCAAAACAATTATGATAAAATCTTTGTCAACAAATATGTTTAAGTAAAATTAAGTAAAAGTTTTTTTCAGTCCTTTTTCCTCAACAAAATAAACATCTTAATAACAAATTAATTCGTGTATGATTTAAGTTAATAAAATCAAATGTATTAAGTATTTATTGAACATTTCTTATATTGTTATTTCAAAAAAATGCGATTGTTATTGTTTTGTCCACCCCTATGAACAGAAAAAACGACTGACATACGCCGTTACAGTGGGTTTCTTATCACCACAAATATGGGCAGTGTAATTTATTTTAAACCACACCATCCTAGTGCCGGAAATACTCACTTAGCACACCAAATGTGTATTAATCTGCGACTAAAAATAGTCCCAAGCAAATGCACTATTGCTCATGTTTGAGTAATGTCTTATATAAACTACAGTGCCCAGCTGTTTTAGAAAATTACTGAGCCTTTTTTAAGACAAAATCACTCGACTGTCCTTCATCTGAACACTTTGACATCTCTTCCATGTTGGCTTAAATTATTAGCACATTTTTGACCCAAAGATTTACTGCGTGGGCATGAGAGTCCTAAACATGATATTTGATAGTTGTTGAAAGACATACATAGATTAAAGACACACAGTTGGTTTTGTTTTTTTCATGCAATTTGTTTTTGACAAGAAGAAAAATTTAGAATTTCACTTGGCTCGTCCTGTAAGAGGTTCA